TGATGAATAATACACATTCATCATTATTCATTATGAATAACCCGTGGTAGCAGGGGACACATGTCACGCGCTTTTTTGCCCCACAGTTCACAACCGAAACTCAGTTATCGTTTTTAACTTGCCCATATATATATATACACACACACATACACACAAAAAATTAAATAAGTAAATATTCGCCCACGAAAACTTTATTTTATTGGATTGCTAAATTTGGGTAAATCTAGAAACCATCTAAAAATTAGAAACCTGATTAACTAATTTGGGTCGTCCAATAACTTTCATTTGCTGTTCATCTTGAGCTATTTCCTGAGTGAAATATTACTGGTATAGGTATATGCTAATCACAGTCTAATCTTGCTATTTCAACGGTGAAAATACAATGCAAAACATAGTGTTGGTAATATTAGTACATGTTGATATAGAAATACGGTTTCACTTGTGAATATTTTTGGTTTACGTATATAATAAACACAGTGTCGGTATATGCTTAGTTTGATGTAGCCTTTCCCATTGACTCAAATGAAGTGTTGTTTCATAGGTGAAACGTTACCTTGTTTCAAATGTTTTATAAGACATTGTTGTTTCACCCATAAAACAATACAAAATTTTCAATTGGCTTCTAAAAAAATAGTTGAGGGTTAACTACATTGTTATATATGTGAACTCAATTTGATGTAGTCTTTCCTATTGGTTCTAATGACGTGTATTTCATCGATGAACTCGGTAAACTTTTACTCGATTCCATCCATTTAGTCAAAAGTTTTCATTGAATAATGGTACATTTTCCCTTTCATGAGTCAAAGCTTAGCAAGGAATGAATTTGTTCTAAACAATTGAGGTGTTCATGGTCCAGTTTAGACGGTTTAACCTCCAAACTGCAAACCAAACCGCACTAGCGGTTTAGAAAATTTTTCAAACCGAGCGGTTTGGTAGAAAGTGATCAAATCGGACCACAAAATACGGTTTGGTCGGACCAGTTTAGATGGTTTGGGTCTTTTATTGGTTTTAAACTAAAAAAAGCATAACATTTGTATATAAAATGAAATTTCTACCAATATAACATTATTAAAAAATAGTACTCCAATAATAAAAGAAACGTTTATCTCTAAAATTGAAAAAACATTGATCAAATTGAAAAAAAAAAATTTAAACAAATCCACCAACAATGGTTGGAATCTTGGACCATCATTTAGCAAGTCGGAGGACGATTTGGAATTTGGATTTGATATTTGATGGATTTCAGAATGAGAACTTAAAACATAGTGTGTTAGACAAACTTTTTTTAGGGGCCGTTTACCTAAACACTTACTCGATAAGCGCTTAATGATAAAATTCAATTATATCGCTTATTTATCGGGTAAGATTTTAGTCTACCAAAATGATATCGTGTGTAACAATTTACCCGGTAAGCACTAACCATGGTAAGAACCGTCACCATCACTTACCGGGTAAGACTCTCGGTCCGCGCCTTCGTTCTTACCAGGTAAGATTCTTGGTCCTTGTCATATTCATCTGGTGAGGGAATGTGACTTGGTAAACGCTTACCCGAGTAAGCATTTGGTAAACGACCCCTTAATCACACATAAAAGTTAAGCCTACAGCATGAAAACTAAATATAATCAATACATGTGTATTTTTAACGGTCGATTCGGTCCAAACTTTTCTAAACATCTAAAGCACAGACCAGACCAGACCGAGAGTTGTTGACTATTTTTTAGAACATGATATTTCAGGCTCCAAATAATGAAATGGACAACAGAACGAAATGAAGCCAACACTGAAGTTAAAAGGGGTGTTTGTGGTTCCGATTGTTGAACTAAATCTTTGTTGATCATTAGCATTACAATTATTAATACGTTCATGAAATCTGGTATTATTGATTAATAAACAGATTTAATCGTAACTTATTTCGTAGTACACTTCGCAATTAGCTTTTATATTTAGATTTTTAAAAATATGGGTTGAGACTCATGAGACTTCAAAAAAACTTCAAACAAGTTATTACTGTGGGTAAGATTTAAATACTTGTAGCTTTTAACTATACTAGAAGGGTCTTGTAATGTTTTTATTTTTGAATAAAATATAAATTTGAAGATATCATATTTTTTTTTAAAATATTGTCGATATTAGCATCGAACTAAGTATTGAAAAGTTATTGTTTTGTTGTGTAAGATCTTTAATTCAATTTTTTTACTATAATTTAATTTAGGTTTAATAACGAAAAAATTTATTTGTGATTTAATAATATAATTTTTTATAGAAATAATAATTAAGTATTCTGTTAGAATATAATGATATCCTAATTATATTTTAAATTTTTTACAATTAAAATGAAATGTTTATCATGTATTTAATTATATTTATCTGCAGTTAGTTACACGAATTCAAGCATGAAGTTTTAATAAGTTGTACTTATGTATTATTTACTTGTAATTTTGAATTTTAAGTAATATGCATCAATAAACAGTACTTCATGTATATAAAATTATTTTTAAAAGTTTTTGTCAAATGTTTTATAATATAGTACAAATTATCAATTTTTAATGGGCTTTATTTTCAATAAAGCCCACTAAGAGCGCATTATTGGGCTCAATATATGCCAACTTCAATCCATTCAATGCAACCCTTTAGCCCAAGTATTCTATATAAAGTACATTACTATGCTTTGAAAAAATTTGATGTCATGAAATTGGGACCAAGTTTTAGAATAGTATCCATTGTTATTGTGAGATACGTAGAACTCTGTTAAATTACTCTTAGAAAATCTTTTAAAAAGGGATGTTCCATTATATACAAGAAAAAAATGAGGTGTTTCTAGACGATGTGAGATTTCAATAGTTTTAGATAAAAAAAGACAGGACGAAGTTGAGAGGATGCTACAACGATTGATCACACACATAGACTGCCCATACGATAATCTACCAGATCGAGCATATCAAAGTTCCTATTACTTACTTTAATTGACGACATTGTACTAGATGACAACACCTACTTTCCTATCTCTACTCGAGGAATGCTGACAACTAACACGACATCACCAGTAATTTCTATTCGTCTTCTGGGTTTTCCATGTAGATAAACGGTACGTGTCTTTATATCTATCGTCAATTTTATTATTTGCACGTTTGATCGTTGCGATCAAAATAGAACAATAATGGTGGGTAGGGGTAGGGTATCCTATTTTCTTTTGCAAAATGAGATTATATAAAGATTATGAAATAATTAAAAAAAAGATATCTAAAAGGAATATGGATAGATGATGGGCATGAGACGTAGCCCACCTCTACTTTGTTACAAATGGTGGGAGCAACCCACGATATGTGATTGATACTGAAATGGGCAAAAATGCATCTTTTCACCTGTCCAACTTTTTTCCATCATGGGCCAGCCCAATCTAAATCATAAACTTGTTTGTCGTACCTTATGCATCAAAACTTGTACTACAGAAATTTTTGTTCTAGAAAAGGGGTTAGAAATTGAGAAGGTTGGGGTTTAGTCATTATCGAGTTTGGTGGTACAATGGTCCTTTGTCTCCGTGCCTAAATAAATGTGGACCCATTTTCTTTTCTCTTTTACTGGTTGGTTTTGGTATTTTGAAGAGGATGTGAATGGGGTTTTCACTCGAAAGGGGTCGTAAATAAAAAGGTATTGTGGTGGGTGGTCGTTATCATCATTTACTGGGTACGACACTCGGTCCTTGGCACTGCTCTTACCCGGTAAGATTCTAGGTTTGCATATACTGATGTACATCCGGTAAGGTAATTAACCCGGTAAATACTTATCGGGTAAGTGTTTGGTAAACGGTCCACTAGTCTTGTTGACTGCTTTTGTATGATAAAGTAATATGTATATAGACAAACACATACGCACACGCGTGCGCGCACACGTGTATCACACAAATTTCTAAAGCATGACACCTCGATATCTTGTAAGTGTTGAATCACGCTTGATACAACATAGATTTTAATCCAACCCCACTGACAATAAAGCTGGGTCTTTTGATGCTCTAATGAAATACCAACTTTCATTTAAACTAAACACATAACTAATATGAAATCAAAATCCCACAAGCCAAGGGAGTCCTTAAATTTCAAAACAAGAAATTGAAGATTTTCTTGGTTCTAAATTACAATTTTCATCTTATGTTTATATGAAGTTAGGGGTCATTTACTAAATGTTTCTCGGGTAAGCTCTTACGTGTATCACTTACATTACCAAATGAGCATGACATGAACCAAAAATCTTACCCAATAAGAGACATAATAACAACCGAGAGTTTTACCTGGTAAGTGAAAAAAAAGACTCTTTTCCAGTAAGCATTTACTGGGTTTAAGATGCTTACAAACAATTCGTTTTAATGATCAAGATTGTTACATGATAAAATATGTTTCTTACTGATAGATACTTATTCATTAAGTATTTGATAAACAACCTCTTAATAGTCGAATATTTGTGTTATATATATATATATATATATATATATAACACAAATATTCGACTATTAAAAGGTTGTTTATCAAATACTTTAACACAACTAGAATATTCGACTATATATAAAAGAAAACAGTTGTATTTGGTGCACCAGATCCAAACATGGGATTTGGTAATTTGAAAAGTAAGAATATTGATGTAGATTCTTAAATAATCTGAAATTCTACCAATCAGCATCAAGTCTCAACACAGCTAAGTGCCAAATTTGAAAGGAACCTGCCTAACATTGCCACCCACTACTCATTAACTATAAAAAAGAACCAGTCCTTCCATATGCATTTGTGACTTGTATATATATATATGTCTTATATTATATAATATAATATAATATATATTGTATATTTAAAAAAAGACATTTTTTAAACTTCATCTAACCTGTCTTTACATGTCAAATAAGTATTTATATTAATATATGTTGATTGGGTATCTAGTATTTATCTAATATCATATTCATATTCATATTCATGCTTTATGTATCTACTCTACTGTATCTATTTAATCTATGTTTAAGTAAACACACCAAAAACTGATTTCCAATCAGTAGAAACCATGATTTCAGAGAATGACCATAACCGTACACCTTCCTTTGGATTGCATCCTATTTTCGAATTTGAAGCTTCGTTGCAGTCTGCAAAATATTTTCCACTGACGTTTCTTAGTTCTGGATGAGTTGCAACATAACATGTTGTAGCAGCAGCCTGCATATATATATATATATGTAAAATTACAATTAAATATAAACAGATGGCAAGTTTATAATCGCTATATGCATGTTTGTTGTGTGCTAGAAGAAAGTAGATAGATGCTTTTATTAATTTGTGGGGAAAGATTACCTGAGGAATTGTTTTCAAGAATTTTGAAGTCAAGAAGAACACGAAATCTACAAATTAAAAAAGTTTCAGAAAATAAAACAACAATATTAACTACAAAGCAACATCATATGCATATGTTCTAAGATTGTGAATGTTATAATTGCTTTTAAGTTCAAAATAAAAAGATCGAGGGAGTGAAAATTTTGCACATTTTGGTCTCTCACATGCATGATGCAACACGTAAATCAACTTCCATGATAAAAATTATTCGTAGACCACAAGTTTTATTTTTTTAAGGAGTTTACTTGTTAAAAACTCCCACAAAATTTATGACGTCTCCTCTTTGTAATCAGTCATGCGAGATTCACCTAATATGTTATGAACACTCCCTTGAATGACTGACTCATCATGCCTGATGGGGTTTGTCCCACTATCCCGATGGTATAAGGATCACTTCTAAGACCATTACTCCAAACTCAAAAGCAGGCAGGCCAAATAGACTTAAAACTATGGTGGAAGTTAATGGTAGAAAACAACTTTGAGACGGGTTTTACATCACCACTTAAACTAGCAATTTAATCCTAATATTAAGAATGGATTGGTGAAAGTGGATCAATGTCATAAATTACCGGTAATGAAACCTTCACGGTCTCTTGTGAGTCCAGTTCTCACAACCCCAGGATGTACACAGTTTACAGTCACGTTTGCCTCCATTTGCTGCAAATTAAGACACTACTTTTAATTCAATATCCAGCTACAAAAATTAATAAATACATAAATCAAATTCTTTTTATAACATTATATATATATATATATATATATATATATATATATATATAGGATACAGAAATATAGATGTAGCATGTACCTGGAGTCTGCGAGCAAGTTCCTTGGTGTGCAAAACGTTGGCCAGCTTCGATATAGCATATGCACGTGTTGCGTCGTAATGACTGCAAATCCAACACAAATACACAGGGGATAAAGTCAATAACTTTATGTATGTATGTATGTATATATATATATATATGATCACTGCTTCCAATAATGGGTTTATGGACACAGGGAAAAGGCATTTAAAGCTAATACTTGCCTTGTATAAAGAGTTGGTTGTATTAGTTGTAAAATTAACCTTACCTGTTAGTTTTATGAAAAGGTAAATTTGTGCTTAATATATTCAGATTTTCATCTTGTGGTCCAATAAATGAATCTTAACATATGATTTAAATACAGTTTTGTTTCTTTCCTTCAACAATAAGTGAATAACTTATGAGTAATACCTAACATGTAAACACCAATTAATGAAAACTACTTTATGATTCAATCAATCTTGTCATTTTCTGAATCAGACATGTTTGTAGCTAACTAAAAGTTTTCTAACAAATGAGATGAGATGAGATCATTTTACACATACCCATGAAATAGTTTGAACAAAAAGCATAAGAAACTATGGACCAACTAATCAAGAAAAGGTATATACATATTCCCTACAAGGGATGTTAGAATCGTTTTTGTTGCACATATCTACATCCAACTTTAATAACTATATATCCAACCATTAAAAGCATCTCAAATATAGATTTTAAAACTAACATTCATAGCATCTCTAACAGATTTTTTATAATTTTTATTTAAATAAAGAATCAAAAGTTAAATTTTTTAAAAATAATTATATTTATCTACAACAGATTATTTATTTTAAAGATTTTAACATCAATTATATTATTAAAATATTCGATAAAAAATATCATGTCAAAACACTTTTTTGAAAGATTTAGTATAAAATAATAATGATCCAATTTTATTGGTGGAAATAATTACAAAATCCATTTTTCTCTCTACAAATTAAGTTTTAGAAAGAAAAAATAAATAAACTTAGAGGCCGTTTACCAAATGTTTACATGATAAACGTTTATCGGTAAAATCATTTACTTACCAGGTAAGATTTTAGTCCAGCAAAACAGTATTGTATGCAACAATTAAACCGGTAAGCGCTTACCATGGTAAGAATCATCGCTCTCACTTACCGGGTAAAACTCTTGGTTCTTACCATATTCATCGGGTAAGGTAGTGTGACTTGGTGTTCACTTACCCGAATAAGCGTTTGGTAAACGATCCCCTTAGAGTTTTCTCTAATTTGTTCTATTTTAGAGAACTATATAGATAATCTTTTGTACCGAAATAGATTATAAAAACTTCAATTTCTATATTTTCTAAAATATTATAAAAATGCTATAGAAACTCAAATACTATGTAATTCTTGTCAAAGTTGATTTATAGTATATATATATTGTTGTAAAAAAAAATGAAATTATGTGTATAAATGTGATCGGAGGACAAGAATTTTATTTTTCAAATCAACCATTAAACGCTATCATCAAACGTTACAAAAAACTGAAGTTAATAATACCAATTATTATGACCAACAAGGCAACAATTGTATCTTTTATATAAAAGTATTACAATAAAATGATAGCATGTTTTAGAATATTCAAATAAGTTTTTTATACGATACTTTTTATTAGTTATTTTATATGACACTTTAAACACATATATTTGTAGGATGCTTGTTTTTATATAATATTTTTCAAATAATTCAGATAAAACTTTAGTTATGATGTTTAAAGACATTTTATCAACTTATTGTAACACATTTAGGTACAATTATTTTGTTTTTTTAATTTTAGTATTATAAAATATTATATTAGTATTTAACCGATTTTGTTGTAATGTATCGAGCTCATTTGCGGTAGAGGGAAAATAGGTTCAAATAAGAAACAACAACCAAATAAAAGAATACGAACACATGTAAACTCAGATATGTGATTTTACTGACGTGCAATATGAATATTTTTTATTTTCTTATTTGGTTAGGGTGGTGTATAAGAAGTAAACAATGGCGAACGAAAACTGACACTACTCAAACTCATTGTAAATTCTTGCAATATACCTTTTATCTCGAGTTATTTGACCCAAGGAACGAATTAAGTCGCCGGAAAACCAGGTATGGATGCCGGACGATACGTTCACTATTCGTCCTTGAATACCTGTTGTTTTCGCCGTAGCTATCATCTTTTTCAGCAATAGTTTCGTCAACAGAAAATGACCTAATCCATGAATTTCAACCAGTAAAACCAAAATTAGCATCGATCGGCTAATTTCTTTTGATCCGATGTCGAGTTTAAGAACGCTTACCTAGATAATTAGTAGCGAAGGTCATCTCGATTCCGTCTTCCGATATGCCGTGATCGTATGAGAATTTCCCGGCGTTGTTTCTAACATATTTCAGTGAATCATGAGTGTGAAAAGTTATGTTATTAATTCTCAGATGAAAGAAAGAAATTGAAGATTAATTTACATGAGGAGATTTAGAGGCAAATTGAGAGCTTCAAAATCCGAAACGAAGCTCCTAACGGATTTGAGAGAGCTAAGGTCAAGAGGCATGACGAGAATTTGCGCAGCAGGAAACTCCGATGCAATACGAGCCTTTGATTCCTCTGCGACTTTCAGATTCCGAGCAGGTATGACGAGACGAGCGCCGCGCTTAGCCAAGACTCGAGCCGTTTCAGCACCGATACCGGACGTCGCACCTTTGTAAGATCAAACATTCATTATATATATAATATATATTAGATTATATTATGTTATATACTAATCTTTGAATTGAAGAGAAGAAATTAAAAAGAAAGAGGATTCTCTTTCTGTCCACTAATAATAGGATAATGATGAGAGTGCATGTGCATGAACATGATTAGAGATAATGATTACCGGTGATAATGGCGGTGGAAGAGTGTAGATCGACGGAGTTATCGGTGACTTGTTCGGCGGTGGATTTGGAGCCGTAGCCGCTGGGTCCGGCGGAGCCGATCAGGTACTTCACTGTTTCAAGCATTTTTCTTCTTTTTTTTGGTTTCCTTTGGAGTTTTTGCCGGTGTTGACTGCTTTTACTGTTCGATTATCATACCAACTTCATTTGCAAACACATAAAAACTGAGAGAGAGAGAGGACGATTAGCAGTAAATTGAGATAGTGAGAGAGAGGAAGCAGTGTGTATATATAGAGCCCAGAAATGTTGCTTTATGAGGGCCAGAATAGGCCTTTCTCTTTTAATTCAATTGGGAGGAAGGGAGGTCAGGGATGGAAAAAGAAGACGATGGTCCAGCTCCTGCACTGCATTACATCTTCTTTATATTCAAAATAAATTAATGTTGCTTCTCCAATTTAATAACAAAAACAAATAAAAACTATATATATATATATATATATATATATATTTTACATATATACATGTATATATGTATATGTATGTATTACACTGTGAGAATTTGTCCCAACTCCCAAAATCGTACTCAGATTTCATTTCTTTTAGATTTATTTTATTTGAGTTCTTTATCCAAAAGAAATGGATGGAAAAGAAAAGAAATCTATTTTTTTTATTGAAAAGAAGGAAATATTTTAAAAGATGAAGTGGTTATTCTTATTCTTGAACATAAGAGAGATATCTATAGTATATTATAAAGCATTAGATAAAAAAATTTAAAATCTATCTTTTATATATATGAAGTATTATTTTTTGATACATATTATTTAAATTTAAGATTACAAGTAAATTGTGCGTAAGTACAACTTATTAAGTTTCATGTTTGAATTTGTATAACTAATTGTAGATAAATATAATCATATTTTAAATATAAAATCTAATATATAATTAAAATAATTATTGAGTTCTAACGAAATACTTATTATTATCTTTATAAAAAATATATTATTAAACAAAAAATAAATTATTTCACCATTAACTAAATTAAATTGTCAATAGAAAACTTGAATAAAAGAGAATTACACAAAAATATGAGATTTTTTTTTTTAGTTTTTATGATATCTTCAAATTTATATTTTATTTAAAAAAATATTATTACTTGTTCAAAACTACATAAATTCATATTATAACATTGACATAGACCAAAAAAATAAAATTTAATAGTGAAATCGAGATATATATCTCACTGAATTACGCAAGTATCCTTCTAGTTTATTTAAAAAAATAATTGTGAATTTTATTTTAGTTTTAAATTTAAGTTTTTATGGTCTCAGCATAAATGCATCAAACCAACCAATTTTATAAATGGAAGAATAGAGATAAAATACTTTTATATATCATTTAATATTTTAGTAATATAATTACTACTTAAATATTAAAAGTGAATGTAATTTTTATTTTTATTTTCTTTTAGAAAGTGTCTATAAATTGTTGAAGAGACTCTTATTCGTCTTTTGATTAATTTTAAATACATAAGCAAAATGTATGTTTCATATCTTTTACTATATCTGTTTTCTTAATGTTTGATTATGAGTATTTAATTTGCATTTAATATCAGTTCTTTTTTTTAAATATACAAAATTAAATTTTAAGGGTTGGATAAAAAAAATTATTATTTAGTTAAGTTTGTATATTTTAAGAACACGATCTATAATAAATATCAAATGCTTCAAATAACCTGAGATATATATATATATATATATATATATATATAGAGAGAGAGAGAGAGAGAGAGAGAATGATCAATTGCAAATCACCATCATTTTTGAAAATCTTACAAATCAATCTTATTCATCTATTTTTTCCATCAATAGTCGATATTAAATAAGTTTATATTAGGAAAAAAAAAATTAAAAATGTCAAATTTGTCAAATCCTCAACAATGAATTAGATATATCCTAATAACTACTGTTAATTATGGAAATGTATTAATGAAAATGTTTCTTATGGAAGTAGGTAAATCTTTTTTTTAATATAACTTTTTTATCATTAATATTTTGTATTACTTTATTAAATTATACTTATTAAAATATGAATTGTAAAAGCAATAGAATATGAGATCTGTGTTCGTTTCATTGAAAAAATATATGTACTTTGAGTAATGAAACGAATGTCATGTTCAATAGTGACCATGAACACAATTTCATAAATAAATTTAATTTATTAATATTTCGAAACATTTTATGCATGAAAAATGTTTATTAAATTAAAAAAATATTCAGTTTTCAAAATGTTTCATTAAATTTTTAAAAATGTTTCATTTTTTATATGTTTCATCGTTTATTAGGAATTCCCTTGTTTTAAAATTATTTTGATTAGAAATTATTAATAGTCTAATACTAATTCAATAACCATTAATGAAACAGTTTGCAAATTATCGTTCAACACTACATGACAATCGGTTCGTCTTTCATTGTAGGCGACAAAGAAGTCACGTGAATTCGTTCTATAAATGATGAAACAGTTTCATTTATTGTCACCTACAATGAATTAAGTATATCATAATAAATTATGAAACATAAAACATGATATAATCAACAAAAATAATGAAACTTTTTGAATACTAAAGCAAAGATTTTGCTTCATTAAATCAATAATTGAAACTGTTTCATTATTTCTTGTTTCAATACTAATTCAATAACCGTTAATGAAAGTGTTTCATTAAATCAAGAAATAAAATTGTTTCAAGAAATGAAACGAACACATATTTCATATTATATTGTTTTTACAATTCATATTTTAATAAGTATAATTTAATAAAATAATAAATGGTAAAAAAATTATATTAAGAAATTTTTTTTTACCTCATTTCATATGAAACGTTTCCATTAATATATTTCCATATTAACAGTAGTTATTAACTTCCAATATTAATCAATATACGATGAAATGACCATTATACCCTTACTTATTAAAATTAAATAAAAAAATGAAATTTTTCTATTGGTCGAAAGTGGTTTGCATAGTTTTCATGAATTGAGCGGTTTGCAACGTAACCCGCCTCAACAAATATATTATATATTACAATATATGTTTTATATTATCTTATACTATATTATAAATCATTTGACAAAAACTTTTAAAAACATTTTTTATGCATGAAGTACTGTTTATTGATGCATATTACTTAAAATTCAAGATTACAAGTAAATTGTGCATAAGTACAACTTATTAAAGTTTCATATTTGAATCGTGTAAATAGAAGATAAATATCTCATTTTAAATATAAAAAATCTAAAATATAATTAGTATAAATTTGTGAGATTTATGATAACTTATTGCATAAGATTTCGTTTCACATTATTTTTTCCCATCTAAGTAGAGTTTTTATAATGTATTGATTAATATATATATTTATTTCACAATATGTTTGTTTGATAATATTTGATTCACAATGTGAGACTTTTTTACGTGTATTTTTTTCGTTTTACAAACACGTCAAATAGTTTATATTGTGAACCAAATACATGTGAAATAAACTCTTTGGGAAACAAATATATCTTGATCATTATATTAAATTTTAGTCATAAATGAAAAAACCGTGTAAAGTAGTACATGATGCACTACTTCTCAATAATCCCACAATTTATAGAGTTCTCAAAAGAATGTCTTCCAACACACACACACACACACATGTGTGTGTGTATGTGGTAGTAAAATAATTCATCTCGTAGGTACTACTCACTATAAGATATTAAGAAAAAGGGATTTTAAAACATATAGTTTTAGAAAATATTCTAAAGATCAGTAAAGATAAAGTAAAAACTATATTATCTAAAAATTTCATTTTTTTTTCTTGTATCACCAATTATATAAACCCATATCAAATTTTCATTTATTTCGGAAATACATCATTTAAAAACCAAGCAGGAACAAGAAAAGTTAAAGTTTCTACAAGATATAGAAACTCACAAGACAAAAAAGCACCCAACAACAATAGACAACCAAAGTAAAATCATAACGAAAAACAAAACATGAACAAAACTGACACCAAAAATACCAGCCCCACTAACGAATTCGACTAGACAAGATGTCTAAATAACGCCAACATGGACCACGATAAAACATCACGAACATCGCCCTAAGGAAAAGGAAGACTCGATCCCCAATGACATGACAGGTTTGGGATCAAACTAAACCGAGACAATCAAAAGTAAACCAAGCACGCCACCATCCTTACCAACGTAACCACAACCACAGATCCTAAAAGAATTAAATCTAGAAAAGGGAAATCGAAAGCCTTAAAAGATGCACAATATCAATCGAAAATAGTAGTTATACTTCAAATCTCAAATCTTGATTTAAGTTATATTTATAATTTGGTAGCTAATTATATATTCATTATTAAAAAGAAGGAATTTTGGCATATTAAATAATCGAGAGAACTTACAAATCCTACAATTTAAGATATTGATTAATACATATTTGTTTCATAATGTGAAACTTTTTACATGTATTATACTGAACACAGAGACATAAAATAGTTTCACATTGTAAAAAAGTACTTATGAAACAAACATATGTTAATTAATACCTTTAAGAATCTTAGTCGAAATGAAAAAAAAAAACTATATAAAATATCATATAATGCACCAATTCTCATAGTTATCATAATTTTATATAAAATCTTCTTTCCATCTCCATATAACCCCTTTCGGCGTTTGATGACCCGCTCCGCTTCGACTCTGCCTCATTCTTTCAACTGATGTCTTGGATGCTTTAATTTAATCTCGTTTATTACAAGTGTTTGTTTTGTAGTTTTCTTCTTTTTGTTCCTTCTGTCGCCCCTCCTTTCCTGTATCTCGCAGTTTCCTTATTGTGGGGGCGGTTGTTTTTTTCCCTCGTTCTTTCTTTCTGTATTTTTTATTTCCATAAATTATTGTATTTCAAAAAAAAATCACAATTTTATATGTTCTCTAGGCCTCCTGTTATTTCTTTTTAGTTGTCAAAATTACCCATTTGCCCATTAATATGAACAAAACATGATACATAAATTGTTAGAGAAGAATGGGGTATTAAGTAATTTTGGATTGCAACAAAGGACTATTAGCCATTAGGGGTGGGGAAGCTAG